GGCACGTTAGCGGTGGCGCGTACAAGTTGTAACCTGTTCAAACCTGTGTGATCTACATTATCGAAGATTGTCAAATACGTATGTACGTAATACATATTCAAAGACATGTCGGATTACAGGGGGCGCCGGATTAGACAGGGGCCTGATTATCGGGGGTCCACTGTACTGAATAATGTGTCTTCGTATAAGAATTTTAAGCCTCAACTTTTCTCAGCAGTTCTTTTTTTGATTCATGTCAATATCTCAATTATTGAATTATACTGTTTCGAAGAAAATCATGCGAATCATAGCCATATACAAGAAATTTATTCAAGCATGTTTTGCCAGGTAAGAAATTGTTTCACGTAGGCTGTGTCTGTTAGCATTTTTATGGCATGCAACAAAAGTGGCACCGGAGCAAGTAGCGCAAGCTGTAGTTTTACAAGATGATGGTCGTATCTGTTCAGTATATCGCAGAAAGGCTAGCCGCTCCACGCAGTACGGTATTCGATGCGATACAAAGAATTAGAGAAACTGGTTCTTACTCAAGAAGACCTGGGCAGGGAAGAGGCAAAGCAACAAACGCAGTTGAAGATCGGTCTCTGATTCTTCAATCTCTTCGAGAAAGGACAGTTCCAGCTACAGCTTTGACTCGAAGATGGATGATGCTCATCGTACCATAGTTTCACCTGATACCGTACGCCGAAGGTTGAGAGAAGGAAACCCTTCAAGTACTAGACTGGCCGCCAAGGAGTCCGGATCTCAACCCCTTTGAACACATGTGGGATACATTAGGAAGACTTCACCAGTACACCTGGGAAGTAAAAATAAAATCTTCAACTCATCGTCTTCAAAGCTCCTGCGATATGAATAAAAAATAATTTTCCGGATGACACAAGATAAATTACTACAAGTTCAACTAATCCGTACATTGCGATTTTATATCTCGATAATTTTTCCATTCCGAAAACCGCCCAAGGGCAGCGTTTAACGTCTATTCGTGAGCATCCGCCTTTTCGTTCAATTGAATGCACGTTACATCACTGTTCTCGTAACCTTAGTGGCAGCGTAAGCACCATTTTTCTAGTAGTAGAGAGAGGAACGCTTTCGTCCAAAGCACAAAATAAGAGCTCATCTAGGTCAGATGGTATCGCAGTTACAAATTATTTCGGTAACAGTAGTCATTGTACTGCTATAAATCTTCATCGGTTGGTCAGCAGATGATGAAATGGTTCATCAGAAAAAGGATTCGCTCACACTGTTCGTTAGACCAGTTTTTTGCAGAGATCGTTAAAGAGGTTTGCAGACTGTTGCACAAACTGATACAATAAATCTGTCAATAAAGATGAAGCCTTTTATAGGATAAATTAAGTACATATTTTCCAAAGTATAAGACAAAAAAATGACAATTCTCTGAATTATATCAATGTTTTTTTGTACTCAACACTTTACGACCTGATGAATTTCTAGCCATACAGTTTTTTCGACCTTGTGTGAACTTGTGTGAAAATTTCATCAAAATCCGAGTGATAGTGTTCAAGTCCTAGACGAGTCAAGGATTAGCAGAGAGACGGACAGACAGACAGAAGAGGCCAATGGGTGACATGGTTTTCTTCGATGTACATGTCGTACAACAACAAAGCAATATACATATAATTTTCAAATTTTCTCGTGATTCTCTGCCGATTCGTCTCCATGTTTCCTGGGTAAATGACACCACAGGTATTTAAGAGTATTTAAAAAACTAAAATAAATATAAATACAATAAAAAATAATAAAACTAGTGACTAAGAAAAATTTAACTCCGCCAAAACTACTTTCACCGGAAAGCGAGAACAACTCCCGACATCTACGGTCCTGAAGGCATAATCTTCAGAACGGAGGATAAGGTCGAGGCTTTCGCTGATGCCATGGAAAAACAGTTCTCTCCCAACTATGATCTTGATAATGACCTCGACGAGGAACAGTACATAGTACGATCCGTCAGGAGATACTTTAGGGCCAACGGCGTTAGCGGAGGCACTGAACCCTCTTCAGAAGGTTCATCTGAGGCTCCACATAGCACATTAGCGGAACCCCCCGAATGTCCACATTGCACACCAGTGGAGCTCCTAAGTCATATTAAAGACCTCAAGGTGCGTAAAGCACCTGGAGAGGATCAAATCACCAACAAGGCGTTGAAGCTGCTCTCGCCGAAAGCCCTGACATATTTGGTGACAATAATCAATGCGACGCTCAGAATCTAGTACTTCCCCGCTGGGTGCAAGACTGCTGAGGTCATCATGATTCCAAAGAAGGTGGGTTCGATATTTCCTCAGGATTACCGTCCCATAAGTCTGCTGTCAGCTCCTTCTAAGCTCGCCAAAAAGGTGATTTATCGTCACCTTGAGAATTTTTCGTCAAATCACCATGTGATTCCTGACGTTCAATTCGGTTTTCGGTCCAAGCATAGCACCGAGCTACAGGCAGTCAGGCTGGTGGAACATCTAACCAGAGGGTTCACCCTCAGCATGAGTACTGGCATCTTGATTTTGGATGTCTCAAAAGCCTTTGACAAGGTGTGGCACGCGGGCCTCCTTCATAAACTAATCCAAAAGGGTTTTCCATTTTTGCTTCTAAAATTACTAAAATCCCTTTTTGAAGGAAGGAAGTTTCGGATCAAAATTTACAATGTTTTGTCAACAACACGGCCAGTACGGGCCGGTGTCCTCAGGGTTCGGTCCTAGGACCAATCTTTTATTCGCTTTTTATCCATGATGTATCTTGCCCCAGTAACTGTGAAGTCTACATCTATGCTGACGACACTGCACTTGTCGTGTGCTGGTATCTGGTTCACGATGGGTTGCAGAGTGCGGTGGAAGAAGTACTAGAGTGGGCGGAACGATGGCTGATTAAAATTAATCATTCGAAGACGCAGGCTATTTATTGTACCAAAAAACGTACCGCCCCCCAGCAGAGGTCTATGTAGACGGCAATCGTGTACCATGTATAAATTCTGCCAAATACCTCGGTGTCACCCTTAATAAAGGCATGACCTGGCAGAAACATACAGCATCGATAAAAATAAAATTCCAAATTGCGTTTCGGCAACTATATCCTTTGTTATGTAGATCCTCCAAATTGAGTTTGATTAACAAAGTTCGCCTATATGAAATGATTATAAGACAGCCATTACTTATGCATATGCGGCTTGGTGTTTTCTTGCCAAGACACATATGCAAAGTCTTCAAGTACTGCAAAGTATAACTTTGCGAACAATTTGCAACGCTACATGGTATGTCTCAAACGAGACACTACACAGAGACCTTACATGAGTGATTATGTCAACCTTCAGGCGCAGCGACGTTATAGTCAAGTGGAATCGCACAGCAACCCTGAAGCAAGTTCGTAAACATTCAGGGCCACGGCTCGCACTTTAGTCAAAAATTAGAGCGAACTTTTAGTAAACTTAAAATTACAATCTAACAAAACCGAATCAAAATTTGTTTAGTTCACCTCAAAATTAATCGGTGTACCAAGTCTAAAAACCTAGGTGTCTCCTCTTAAACTAAACACTTCTGTTTTTCTTTGCTCTTCTCCATTCTTCTTCTCTTTCCCTTTCTCTTTTTCCTTGACTAACGTACATTAGACAGTGACTAATAGGCAAAGGTCCTACGGACCGCCTAGACCATTGATTCCCAAAGTGGTCTATATCGACCCCTAGGGGTCTATGACAACCTGCAAGGGGTCTACGTCAGCGAAAAAAAATTTGGGGGTCCATGAAATTAATATGGGGGTCCACAATAGTGGATCTCAACACATACACTGATAGTACCTATTTACTTACATCATACTATCTTATAATATCAAAACATATACATTATTTATAAAAGTACCTATGAAGTAAGAAATGTATTATATATGTTTATAAAATTGTGTAAGTTGTAGGATGTTAGTATTCGCTTTGTGGTCGCAATACATTTTGAACTTGTAAAAACCTGAGAGTCGCAGTCTCAGAGCTTCGCTACCTTGCACTGACTTGTTCAATTCTTCACTCTATAAATGCGAATGTGGGACAAATACGTTTATTCGTTTCCTGAATCTTGAAAAGGAAAGTGCTAAGGAAATATTGTAAAAAATATAAACAGATAGTATATCACACAAATTATATTGAGTCAGTGTTATTTTGTTTGAGAGTGCTGGAGAAAAGTAAGTACATTATTTTTTATTAAATTTTAGTTTTGAACTCGTAGTTAGCAAAGATAGATAAATTACGCCAATCATGACTTTAGTTATTAGTAGTTAAATATTCAATCATGCAAAATTACACGAGTACTCCTCAATAGTTTCTTTTTGAAAGTTTTAGAGATCGGTAATATAATTACAGTGCAATCTCCGTAATTCGAGCTAATTGTTGCAAGAAGATGTTCGAATTATGGAATGTTTTCGGAAAAATCAAAAAATATTTTAATATGCAGCTGCTTCATTTTCTGTCTTATTTAAATAATTTAATTTTGCCCACAGATGACTGATGCCATGTCCGAATCTACTCGTAGAAAGAAATGTAGACAGTACAGTGTTGATTATTTGAAATTTGGCTTCATTCCATCATTGCCGGCCTGTGTGCCTTTTATGCAACAAAGTTTTGGGCAATGACGCTATGAAACCATCTAAACTGCAAGATCATCTGAGAAGATGCCACCCTGATAAAACAGAGAACGATTTGAAATACTGTCAAACACTCAACGATAAATTTCAGAAGAGACCTACACTGGACAGAATGTTCGCGTCGACGTCACAAAGAAATGATGATGGTTTGCGGGCGTCTTACAATATCTCGTTACTTATAGCAAAATCCGGAAAACCGCATACTATCGGAGAGAAGTTAATTTTGCCAGCCGTTGAAGAGGTTTTAAAAACTGTTTTACACAAACCTGCATCTATATCATTAAAAGAATTCCCTTAAGCAACGATACTGTTGAAAGACGTATTGATGAAATGAGTTCTGATATTGAAAGCTTCTTATGTAATTATTTGCAAACGACTCATTTCTCTATACAACTGGACGAGTCAACTTTACCTGATAATGCAGCATTATTATTGGCATATGTTCGTTTTATTATGAATCAAGAAATCTACGAAGAACAGCTCTTCGCAAGAACTTTGATAACCGACACTAAAGGTGAATCAATATTTCATATTTTGAAAACGCAATTCCTTTATCAAATATAATATCAGTAGCTACAGATGGAGCACCTGCCATGGTTGGACGTTATCGTGGATTTATAAGTTATTTAAAACAAAAGGTGTCAGGGGTGTTAGCAATACATTGCGTCATCCATCGACAACATTTAGTTGCTAAAAATTTGAGTTAGTTAGATTGCATGAATCACTTCATTTAGTCATTGATGCAGTAAACCGAATCCAAAGCAACGCGTTGAATACGCGGTTATTTGCGCAGTTGTGTGAAGAAAATGACGAATACTTTTATCAATTACTCCTTCACACTGAAGTACGCTGGCTGTCGAAATGTTATGTTTGACAAGATTTTTTGCACTTTTTGATACTATTTTAGAATTTCTGAAGAGGAAAACAGACTATTTAACAGCTCTGTTTACAAAATTTAATATGGTTAATTTGCAATTACAGGGCGACAGTTTAAATTTGATTAAAACAAAGTCCATCTTATCAGCGTTTCTTGCCAGTGCAAAATATTGGACGGGGCGAACTTTCTCAGTTCCCCAATTTGTCACAGACAAGCTGCCAGGAAAACGACGTTTCAACTTACGTTCAACATTTAAATGCCCTCTATTCAGATTTTGAATCTAGGTTTGAGGATATTTTGACTATGGTAATACCACCGTGGATATACTTAATCCATATGGTGACATAGAAGAAACGAATGCCATAATACAAGAGGAACTGACTGAACTAAGTACCAACGAAGAACTTAAGGTTCAGTTTAAAAACGGATATCAGCAATTCTGGCTGCAAAACAACATACCCGTTACTTATCCCGTATTATGGAATATAGCGAGGAAATTTTTAATTTCCTTTCCATCGTCATACCTAGTGGAAAGGGGGTTCAGCGCTGTTGCCAATCTCGTAACGAAAAAAAGAAACATACTGGACATCATTAGCCGAGGAGATTTAAGATTAAACCTTACAAAATTGACGCCAAATGTTGATAATTTATTATTAAAGCATCAGGTTCATCCTTCTCACTAAAAATATTGACTTATTGCTTATGTTATTTTATTTATAGTTTATTTTATGTTTATTGGTGTCTGACCAATAAACGCCCGCATTGGGAATAAGTGCCCGCATTGATTTTTTTAAAGAACCCCCTTTATAGAAAATATTTTTTTTAAAATTATTCTGAAAATTGAAGGATAGGTACACACTAAAATTCGTTAATTTTTTGCCTATTTTTAGATAACTTAAACGTATAAGAAGCGGAATTTAATCAAACTAACAGTGAAATTGTTGTAGAACATACGTTTATGTTATAATTAATAAACGAACTCGCTTATTGTACTATTTTAAGTAAAAAACTTTTTTTTTATTTTTCACTTTTTTTATTTTTTCCCTCTTATTTTTTTTCAATGCGGACACTTATTCCCAATGCGGGCACTTATTGGTCAGACACCTGTTTATTTAATGTTACGTATATTTTACATAACAGATACAAAATTTTATTTCGTGTAGTTTTAATTTAAATTCAATTAATAAATGTATAAATTAACATGTGTTTTTACTTTAAGTTTTTAACACTAAACTTCACTACAGTTGGAAATTTACAGGAAATCAATATCAGGTAAGTAGGGGGTCTACCCAACACGGAAAAACATGGCAAGGGGTCTACGACACAAAAAAGTTTGGGGAACTCTGGCCTAGACAAACAAATGACGAATAGTATAACTACTTTCACCTTACTTTGTCATAATTTTACATTTTGTGAAAGTAATTCATTAAAATTTGGTAACAAGATATAATTAAATATTACCTCGTTATCGTACTGATACATAACAGATCAAGGTGAAATGTTGGCAGGTATAGGCAGTCAATAAAGTTCAGGTATATTTGTCGTCACGGCGATCAGAATGAGAAAAACCTGTATGAAAAGGTTACAACTGAAAAAAAAAATCGCAAGTACCGGCTAATGATTAGGCGAAGATGATTTATTTAGAACGGAAATTTAATAAGCACACTGGTGCGGTATCTGGCAGTTCACGAGAGCAGAGATCAGAGCGATTTAGACGCTTAAATATCAAGGGCGCGATGAAAAAGTTATGATAATCACGAATTAGGTACGATTTCTAGATGTTGGTTAGTTCGTTGTTATTATTACGTCAAATCGTGTGAAGAATTATTTATTTACACGGTGATCACTTACTATGACGCTCCTAGCTTAAAATATGTGGAAAAACATTTTTCAGCAATTTTACAATAATTAAAATACCCTCACTAGACATCCAAAATTTGAAGTGTTGTAAAGTTTTTCAATAAGAAAATAAAACTGGTGGCTACGCAGTGTGGTAGCACTGACTAACATATTTCAGGTGGATATAGATATATGTAAATCGGCCTATATTATGACTAGTCACATGCCGATATATGCCTACCGATATAAATTACAAAGTTCATGGGCGTAGCCAGGCTTCAGTTTCAGGGGGTCTATGAAATAAAATGACAAAAATATGCACCAAATGACAATCTTATTCATTAAAAAGGAGAAGGAAAATTTACTTCAGGGAGCACGCGCTGTCCCATCCACTTGCCTCCCATTACACTGATCAACAGCCAAAAAATATCCTAAATAAAATCAACAAAATATTACTATTTTTAATGTGCTAAAACCGGAATGAAACTTATTTTTTCAATATTAGTTCAAGTTTTAGAGATACGGTAATTATATGTGTTCCTGCTGTGACAGTGTTAATATACTGTAATTCACAAGAATGAACGTGCTACATTTTTATATTCGGCAAGGAAAGATGATGTAATCGGCATGATTGTGTTACGTTATACATACGTGTACATTATATTGTTTTATATTAGCCATTTCTTCCTCAGTTGGCTGACAGCGTTCATGCAAGATGTCTCGAAAGTGTGTACACAATCCAGATCAGTTTTGTTACGTGTGTGGTGATGTGACTTTTGCGTCTCAGAGACGGTCTGTTACTCCACTAATAACAAAGGCATATCAGCTTTATTTCGGTTGTAAATTAGATGATCAAGACAAACAGTGGGCACCCCACATCTGCTGTAATACATGTGCTTCAAGTCTGAGGAGCTGGTTAAATGGCAAAAAACGGTCTATGCGCTTTGCTGTCACAATGGTTTGGAGAGAGCCTACAAATCATGTTAATGATTGTTACTTTTGCATGGTACCTTGTGTTGGACAAGCCACAGGTATGTCCAAGAAAAAAAATCGGTTATTAACTACCCAAACATACCATCTGCGATGAGACCTGTGCCTCACAGTGACGAAAATCCTATTCCAAAACCCCCAGAATCCTACACTTGCGAATCAGAAAACGAATCAGATCATGGCGATCGAGTGATTCGTCAGGAAGAAGATATGCCATCAACGTCAAGAGATCCTGATTTTACACCGAGCACGTCATGCCACCAACCGCACAAAATAACACAGTCAGAATTAAATGATCTTGTAAGAGATTTAGAACTTCCAAAATGTAAGGCAGAGTTACTTGGATCAAAACTGCAGCAGTAGAACTTGTTAGAAGGCGATGTTTCGGTATGTGTTTTTCGTAAACGCCACAAAGACTTAGAACCATTTTTCAATATGGAGAATAACTTGGTTTTCTGCAGTAACATTAACGGCTTACTGGCGGCTTTAAATATAAACTATAACCCAGAAGAATGGAGATTGTTTATAGACAGTTCGACATTGAGTTTAAAGGCAGTGTTATTGCATATTGGAAATATTTTACCATCTCTTCCTGTAGGGTATGCAGTTCACATGAAAGAATCAGATGACAATATGAAGTACCTATTGACATGCATAAAATACGATGAGCACCAATGGCATATTTGTGGGGACTTGAAAGTTGTTGCACTTTTACTTGGGCTGCAGCTAGGCTACACAAATTTTTGCTGTTTTTTGTGTGAATGGGACAGTCGGGCAAAGGCACTTCATTACACCAGACAAAACTGGCCTGTTCGTCAATTCCTAGAGCCAGGTCAAAAAAATGTACAGCATATGCCATTAGTAGATTCGAAAAAAATTTTATTACCACCACTGCATATCAAGTTTGGGCTTAATGAAAAACTTTGTCAATGCATTAGATAGAGATGGGTCAGCTTTTCAATACCTGCGTCAGAAATTTCCAAGACTAAGTGAGGCAAAGGTTAAAGAAGGTATTTTTGTTGGGCCACAGTTTCGAAATATTTTGAAAGATACACAGTTTGAAAACACTTTAACAGGTATTGAAAAAACTTTTTGGAATGATTTCCGTCTGGTGGTCACTAATTTCTTGGGAAATAGAAAAGCTGACAACTATATAACCCTTGTCAAAAATATGCTGTTATCGTATCAAAAGATGGGCTGTAATATGTCTCTTAAGATACATTTCCTACACTCACACCTTGACTTTTTTCCTGACAATTGCGGAGCTGGAAGTGATGAGCACGGCGATCGTTTTCATCAGGATATTTCAACAATGGAAAAAAGGTACCAGGGAAAGTGGAATCCTTCCATGTTTGCAGACTACTGTTGGACTCTTGGTAGAGATGATCCAGAAACGATCCATAAAAGAACAGCAAAAGACACCGCACATAGTGATTCTTATAAGTACCTATATGAATCTTGTTACTTTTTTTAATATATCCTTAAAAATAAAAAGTTTTTTTCTAAACCGCAACTAATTTTTTTATTTCATTGTCATTTTTGGATTCAGCGCCCCAAAATTAACAAAAAAGTGCACTTTTCCCACAAGATACAATTAAAAAACTAAAATTTGTTGTCCAGTGTTATCTACCTCGAAGTTTTGATCCAATTTATTATCATTATATCTGTCACGGGT